GGTGGGGGTGAAGGACACACAGGTAATAGGGAAAAAATAAGAACTAAGATACATCATGTTCAGGTACAAACACCCAATAATAAATGTAAATGTATTGTGTACCTAAAATGTACCAATTAATATATAAATAAAAAATTTTTTAAAAGAATTTAAGCAAAAAAATTGTAAACCTATGTCAATGAAAGTACATCATAATATCCAAATGACCATAGGTGTTCATCTAATAGTTTAATGTTAATCTTCAAAAATATTTTAAAAGATTTCTATCCAAATGCAAAATAAAATAAAATGCTATATGCTGTATGTTAGTATTTATAAAGTTTATGCTTATAGTTTTAAATCATAGCTAACCAGACATCAGAGATAACTTGTCATTCTTCTAAAAGAAAAAGTTGAAAATGAATTTGCTCCTGTTGGCAGATTGATTTCATGTAGAAAACTGTAAAGAAGATTGCTTCCATCTAGAATAACAGAAAGTAATGTTAAATTACAGTACAATCTCATCTCTAAAGAACTTCTTGACCTTTAGGGAAAAAGATTAAGTAACTGTATTTATTTCCAAATGGAACATGCCATGAAGGGTAAAAACTCTCAGCCAGCTACAAGGACGAGGAGCTGTCTGAGTACTTGGGGTTGAGCTTTTTGGTTTCAAACTGTATTTTAACCTTTCTTCATAAAAAATCTTACCTATCTACACTCACAGTGTGAGCATTCTTAGAATTGTTTACAGTATTTAAACTACTTTTTATAATTTAGGCTCATTTGGGATTTACTCTGTGTAATATTCTCAGAAGCCCTTACTTCAAAATGTTTATGGTTTGAGTATGTTGTCTATTAAGAGTATTTTCCTTGATTTTTGGCCTCTTCTTGACCTCCGATATAACTTCTTGCTACTCTTTAGAATCTAAATGTAGAATGATCATTTTCTAATTTTCTGCTACTAGGAGATTCAGTATGGAAAGTTTGTACATGGTGTCAGAACTTAGTTGGAATGTTTCCCCTGACAGATTTGGTGCCATTTTCATCATCCATTATGGATCACTATCTTCATATATAAAAATGGAGATGCATCCTACTTCATAGGGAAGATTAAGCATTAGTACTAAGCAATAATATGTAAAATGTACACTAAAGTCCCTCTAAGAAGGAAGACTGAATAATAGGGCATTTTGTACTAATATCCTATGATGTAGAGAGCCACATAATTAGGTGTGTCAAATTGGTGTTACACTGGATATTTTCCAAGCTTTTTGGTCAGCAAATTCCTAAATACCCTACCAAAGATTTATTACCATCTTATATGTATAGATCTCCTGATATAGAACCTGAGTGTGCAAAACATAGTAGAAGTGCAAGTTACAATCTGTCTAGTGCTTGCAGGTAGCAGGAATAGGCTCACTAAACTAGTTCTTGGCATTAATATTGAAGCAAGTGTTTCAGATTTTAATTATCTCTCAATTCCAGGAGGAGGATTTCTGAAGAAATCAACCTGCTAGGAATGTCTAACAGAAGGGGACAGAGATTACAGACAAGACACAGAGATAATTTTGAAAGAGGGATCACAGAGTGCTTGCCTGTAGTGGACAAAGAGCCCTGAACATCTGGCTCACTTTGCTTTTATTTAACTTAGGTAAGGAAGGAAGTAATTAGGTGAATGGAAAATTCATTTCTCATTATTTGCAAAATGTACCCAGGTAAGTATTTCTATAAACTAGGTTTCAGGTGTTGTTGACTTCCCTGGAACTTGCAACATGCCAGCATGCTGGCAAATTGCCAAAGGAGGATCAGCTTGCTATTCCCTCCTTCATATCTACAGGGTGACTGGGCCTCAATATTTATATCTAGTTTCCCACAAGTTTCTCTAAAAAAATAAAGATTGGAATAAAAGATGTATCATTTTTTCTGAACATTAGCAATTTCTCTATTATTTTATTATGTTCTGAATACTCAGCTTCTTTTTTAAGAAAGAAAATGGAAGAATAGCCTAATAAAATGTTTTCTTAATATCCATCATAATAGTCTGGAAGGAAGATTGACATAAATTAATATTTTTAAAAAATTTGGAATATATGTGGGTTTATTTTTTTTTAGTGTTGTGGGTTACCAAATTTTTCTTACCTTAGAGCAGGTAGTATTATGATTAGGGAACAAACCTATGCTCAACTATGACCATATCTATCCATTTTTTACTACTAGATGAATTCACATAAAAACTGCAGCATAGATTTAATTTGACCATAAGAATTAGCTTAGACATGTACCAAAAAATAAATATATTCCTCTGCCCTCTCTTGTAGATTTTTTCATTAATGGGTAAATTGATGTGAAAAGTAAGGTGTTCTTTTAACAAAAAAATGTTTAAACTAGAATGGTTTAGAAAAAAATTTATACTAATGCATTAGCAGTTAAGATATCCATAATAGATAAGTTCTGCTGTACAACATCATCCAGAGACACAGAATAGCAAATTAAGTCTGCCACTCTCAGAAAGTAACTATATACCAATATGCTTTTTCAAGCTTTAGCTTACAAAATTTCACTTTCAGCACACTAAAAACCATAACAAAACCAAGTGAACAGAGAAATAAATTGTTACCTTTTAAGAAAAGATCTAAATTGATACATGCAAATGTTTGATGAATAAACTGAATGTAATATTTGAAGAGTTATTATAAATTGAATAAATATAATGATGTCAAATTACAACTTGTTCTAAAAACTCTGAAGGAGTTAAAGCAAATTGTAAGTGTACATATTCAATGTTTACATATAATCTTATATCATATATATTATTTTATAAATTTTGTATACATATAGATACACTTTGAAGTGAAAATATCTTTAGTACATATTACATTAATAAAAAGATGAGTCAGAATGATATAAACAATACCATTCCTATTGATCATATAAAAACATGTACCACCCAGCCCAGAGGTAGGGGCTTCCAGGCCATGATTCCACCACTCCCAGCCCAGAAAGGGGTTCAGGCCTGCCATTCCTCCACTCCCAGTCAACAGGAAGGGGCTTCTGGGCCACCATTCCACCACTCCCAGCCCAGAGGAAGGGGTTTCCAGGCCACTGTTCCACTGCTCCCAGGTCAGAGGAGGTGAGCCGCATGGGTGCCAACATTAACCCCATGTCGAAATGAGAAGACACATAAACAAATCTCAAAACCAAACTTGTAGATCATGTACAGCAAACCCAAAAGGAAATGAAATGGAACATTCTGATATTCAAGCAGATGGACTCCCTGAACTGGCAACAAGAGGATCTAGAAAAAATGAAATCAGAAATAATTTTTCAGAAAACAGCAGAGATTGTGCTAGTAGTGCAAGACATGATTAATAAATCTAGAGAGCAACTGAGGAACATGATGGAATTCCAACATAGGAAACAAATGGAATGCATAAAGCAAATGCAAACAGATTTCCAGGAGATCAAAAACTCCATTGAAAGTCTACATAACAGAATGAGCCAGTGTGAGGAGAGAATTTCAGATATAGAAGATACAATTGCAATTAGTGACCAGAAAAAGAAAAATTATGTGAAAATTGTAAGGGACCAAGAGAAATCAACCCAGCAGCTGCTAGATGATGCAAAAAACAATAACATAAGGTTGATTTGAGTCAATGAAGAAACAGAAGAGAGTGCAGATGACATAAAAAATCTCTTCACAGAATTAATGGCAGAAAACTTCCCAAGCAGGGGGAAAAGAATTTGACATACAGATAAGGGAGGCATATAGGACTGCAATGAGCCTTGATCAAAAAAAATCTACACATAGGCATATAATTGTTAAGATTCCAGAAACCCAACAGAACAAAGTTCCACAAGCAGTTAGAGAAAAGAAACGAATCACATACAAAGGCAAGCCCATCAGAATCACAGCAGACTTCTCAATCCAAACCCTCAAAGCAAGAAGAGCTTGGAGTGATGTATTCCAAGCCCTAAAGGAAAACAGCTTCCAACCCAGATTGATGTACCCTGCAAAACTATCTTTCAAAATTGATGAAGAAATAAGATATTTTCATGAAAAGAGCACTTAGGAACTTCATGAATAACAAACCAGCACACAAAAAATTTTAAACAATATCCTAGGATATTGAGGATCACAATGAGGATCACAACCCCAGGAATCACAGCAGAATGAACCCATCAGGTGTGAAAAGAAATTAAATGTAAAGGGGGAGAATCCAAGTCATGACAGCAATAAGTCAATATGTATCAGTTATAACCATCAATGTTAATGGTCTCAACTCACCTATCAAAAGAAATAAACTGGCAGAGTGGGTCGAGAAGTAAGATCCAACAATATGCTGCATGAAAGAAACACACAATTCAAAATGAAACCCATAGACTGAAAGTTGAAGTGTGGAAAACAATACTCCATGCCACAGGAACATAAACAAAAGCAGGAGTAGCTATCCTCTTTGCAGATTAACTGGATTTCAAATCAACACTGATTAAAAGAGACACAGAAGGACACTACATCCCTGTAAAGGGAACAATCCAAGAGCAAGAAATAAGAATCATTAATATCTATGCACCAAATGTGAATGTGCCCAACTATATAAAACAAATACTAATGAACATAAAAAATCATATATGCACTTATACCATAGTAGTGGTGGACCTCAATACCCAACTGTCACAACTAGACAGATCAACCACACAAAAAATTAGTAATCAAATAATGGAACTCAATCAGACTCTTGAACAAATGAACTTAATAGATGTTTACAGAGTGTTCTACCCCATAAAATCAGAATACACATTCTTCTCAGCTGCACATGGGTGGTCCTCCAAATAGGCCACATACTCACTCATAAAACATTTTTAAGTAAGTGGAAAGGAATTGAAGTTATCCCCTGTATATTATCAGATCATAGTGCAAAGAAATTGGAGATCCATAGCAAAAGAAGCCACAAAAATTTCATAAACACATGGAAGTTGAACAACACACTTCTAAACAACCAATGTGTCACAAATGAAATTAAAGAAGAAATCACAGAGTTCCTTATAATTAAATGACAATGACAATACAACATATTGGAATCTATGGGACAAAATGAAAGCAGTCTTACAAAGGAAATTCATAGCAGTGAATACACATATCAGGAAAACAGAGAAAGCCCAATTAAACAATGTGATTCTGAACCTCAAGATTCTAGAAAAAGAAGAGCAGGACAAACCCAAAGCCCATAGAAAGGAGGAAATTATAAAGATCAGGGCAGAAATCAGTGCAAAGAGGATTAAGAGAACAATATAAAAAATCGATGAAACCAAGAGTTGGTTCTTCAAAAGAATCAACAAAATTGACAAACCCTTAGCCAACCTTATCAGAAAAAGGAAAGAAAAGGCCAAAATTCATGCAATTAGGAATGAAAAAGGTGAAATTACAACAGACCCAGCAGAAATCCAGAGGATCATCAAGACCTACTGCAAGAACCTTTATGCC